CAAGAAACTGCCCATTCAAATTTTTGGCCTTTTTTAGTCAAATCATGTAGTGGAGCAGCTATAGTTGCAAAGTCCTTCACAAATTTGCGTTAGTAAGTACAGATTTCCAAGAAACTTTTCAGCTCTCCCACATTGTCTGGTGTTGGCCAGTTATGCACTGCTTTCACCTTATCAGGATCAGTTTGTACACCATTCTCACTAACAATGTGGCCTAAGTAAAGCACCTCTTTCTGGAACAAATGACATTTCTTGGGATGGAGTTTGAGGTTTGCTGCTTTCAAATGCTTGAATACTTCCTCTAGCCTGGACATTTCCTCATCAAAAGTTGTTGCACATACAATGACATCGTCCAGGTACACTAGTGCTATCCTCCATTGTAGGTCTTCCAATACTCGTTCCATCAGCCTTTCAAATGTTGTTGGAGCATTACCAAGCCCGAATGGCCTCACTCGGTATTGCCAGAGACCTTGGTCATAACTAAATGCTGTCTTAGGTCTATCTGCTTCAGCCATTTTTACTTGATGGAAACCTGACTTTAAGTCCAGAGTTGAAAACCACCTGGCTCCACTTAGGGCATCAAGAGTATCATCAATTCTTGACAGTGGGTATGAGTCTTTTTCGGTTATACTGTTAAGAGCCCTGAAGTCCACACAGCAATGTTGGGTCCCATCCTTCTTCTGGACTAACACGACGGGAGCTGACCAGGGACTATTTGATCTCTCGACTATCCCTTCCTTAATTAGACCATCCATGACCTTCTCTATCTCTTGTCGCTTTGTTGGATTTATTCTCCTCGGAGGGATCCTTATTGGACGGTGATTGTCTGTGTTTATTCTGTGCTCTACAAGGTTTGTGCAGCCGATGTCATGATCTCCTTTCGAAAAGACGTCTGCATAATTTGCCAAAAGTTATTTTACCTGAAGAGCCTGTGATGATGACAAATGGACTATGCTCTTCTTATAGAGGTCAGTCAAATGTTCTGAAAGTGTATGTCCTTTCTTTACAGTTGTATTTTTTGCTTTAACATTGACTGGCTCTACCTCCTGGCATACACCAAACAATGCCCCTTCCTTAAGTGTATGCTCACATTTAGAGAAATTGGCCACTGTTATAGGTACTACTTGATGACCTGCCACAAGTGACTTTCCAATCTTCAAATCCGCTGGCCTGGATGGGTCTTCCACTGCTTCCACAAGCATTGGGCTTCCTTGGGGATGTTCTTTTATCCTACCCCAAATTATCTTCTCTGACATATGGGGTATTGTAGTTGGTTTAAGTGCTGTGACATGCAAATCAA